TGTGCGTGTTAGACATAGGACTCTTCGAGCTTCTGCCTGGGGATTGAGCTACTGGCTCTGGGGGGGCGGTTCTGGGGGTGCCCCACGGGCAGGAGGAAGGTTTCCAGCTTGGTGGCCTAGGTTCGGATTTGCCTATGTGGCTCCAGTGGCTCCATGCCTCGGTTTCCCCATCTGTGTAATGGGATGATAACAGAGCCTGCCTCGGGGGGGCTGTTGTGACTTTTCCAGCCTGACCTCCTTCTTGGGGCCTTCCCAGGTCCCCCGCCAGCCCCCCTCCCACACCCCTGCAGCCTCACTCCCAGGCATCCAGCCAAACTCCTGGCCATGTGCTCAGTGCTCCCTGAGCCCAGCTGCTTCCTGTGCTCAGACAAAGAGGGCTCTGTCCCCAGGCCACCCCGGCCGGGGCAGGCCCAGCACACCCCACACAGCACAGACTGCAGGCATCCACCCGCCTCCACCCGCCCCCTCCGCCGCCATGTCTCCTTGTCCCCAGCCCCGGCCTGCCCTGTTTCCATCCTCTCCCCGAGCCGGTGCCAATGGACATCTGGGCGTCTCCTGACCCTGGGCACCCACAGCTCGTCCTGTCTGCACGAGGAGGGCTCTGGGACCGCTCAGAAAGCCAGAGGGAAGGTGGGGCTGAACTGACTCGGAGTGACCCTAACGGGATGACACTGGTGGGGGGTGTGTGTGTGTGTCTGGGTGACATTAATGGTGTGACAATGTGACAGCAACAGGTGACAATGTAGCAAGAACCGGGAAGGATGGGAAGACAGTTTGACAGCAACAGGTGACATTGTAATTAAAAAAAAACCCACCAGGGGTTGGTGTCATGTTGGCAGGCAGGCTGTGTTACAGTGACCAAAGACAGTAAGGACACAACGTATCAATAAAGGGCCAGGTGACAGAGCTGCAGTGAGAGACGACAACAATAGGGCAGTCTGGGACCGTGGTGGACAACAGCAGGGGACTGGCTGACGGCATCGGCGACAAGGTAAGAGCAATACCGGGCATTCGACATCTCCAAGGCCGTCGGGGGACTGAACCCCATCCCTGGATCTGGGAACTCTCCCCCTCCGTGCGACGGATCCCACTCAGCCTCGAGACACCAGGCAGGGCCTCTTGGACCCCGTTTTGCCCAGGGTGGGTGACGCCGGTGTCCAGCATCCAGGATCATCCGGCAGCATCGGAGCCCGGGGAGCCAGGAGGCGGCGGCTGGTGTCTTCACGGGGCCGGATCCAAGGGCAATGTGGGTCGACTTTGCTGCCTGCAGAACCTCCCAGCGTGGTCACCCTTTCTGGTGGCGTCGGTTGCTTCTGGTGCTGAGAACTCGATGCTCTGGGTAACAGCAGACTGTTGATGGGCAACGAGGTCACAGCCACAGGTGCAGGCGTAAAGGTGACAGGAGATGGCACTATGTCCTGGGCAGCCAAGTAACCAGAACACAGAAAGGTGTCACATGCACAGGTGACAATGAGACAGGGGCATGTGACGGGTGGCTGTGGCGTAGGAACTTGGTGACAATGCGGTTTTGATGGGGGGACCGTGTGACGTGCTTCGTCTTCATCACAGTCTTGGGAGCCACTGTGACATGGGGGGGCAGGACTGAGAGCCTAGTTGTCCCTTCATGACAACGAGAAGTAACAAGGGGACAGTCAGGGTGACACTGTCCATGTGACCACATCGGGAATGGGCAGCAACATCGCAGATCAGGTGTTTTCTTTTTCTTTTTCTTTTTTTTTTTTGAGACAGAGTCTCGCTCTGTCACCCAGACTGGAGTGCCGTGGCGTCAGCCTAGCTCACAGCAACCTCCAACTCCTGGGCTCAAGCGATCCTCCTGCCTCAGCCTCCCGAGTAGCTGGGACTATGGGCATTTTTAGTCATCTGGCTAATTTTTCTATTTTTAGTAGAGACAGGGTCTCGCTCTTGCTCAGGCTGGTCTCAAACTCCTGACCTCAAGCGATCCTCCCCCCCGGCCTCCCAGAGTGCTAGGATTACAGGCGTGAGCCACCGCGCCCAGCCTGCCCCTTTCTACTGACCCTCCGAGCTCCCATCCCCAGAAAGAGGGCTCCTTCCCTCCCTCCCCTCCTCGGGTCTGTCCCTCTGGCTTGGGAGTGTCAGGGTCCAGGTCTGGAGACTCACACTGGGAGACACTCGAGGGCTAGACCAAGACCTTCCCAGCTCGTATGTGGCGATGCTGGGCAGGGGTTGGGGACATCTCCGTCTGTGAGGGCTTCTCTCTCTCCCCGTCCCCAGTACTTCCATCCCCCGCTGCAAACCCTCCTCAGAGACTCTCCCCAGACCTGGCGGTCCTTTCCTCACTCAACTGCTCCCAGGGACCCACCTCCCTGCGCTAAAAATAATCCGATGGGCTCATGTGAGCCCGTAGACCACCAGGGACCAGTCTAGCAAAGATTACGGACCCCTGTCTAGCGGGTTTGAATTCCAGCTCCATCACCACCAAGAACTGTGAGGCTGGACAAGCTATGTAACCTGTATGTGCCTGAGTTCAGTCATCTACAAAGTGGGGATCATGAGAGCATCTCCCTCACAGGCATTTCTGGTCATTAAGCGAGATAATGTGTATGAAACTCTTAGCCACAAGCCTGGCACACTACAAGCACCCAAAAAATGCCAGCTCTAATTGTTATATGCTGTTTACTTATTCCATGCCAGAAGTGTGATGATGGTAGCATGTTCAGCACCATCAGCTTTGGGAACTCAATAGGGTCAACTAACAATGTAGGGAGTAGGGAGGGGCTTTTTGAACTGGGCTTTGACGGATGCATAGGAGTTTTCTGGGTGGGGTAGCTGATGCTTCAAGCCCAACAAACAGGTTCCGACTGTTTGATCCCCATGTTAAGTAAGAATCACCTGTAGTGTCTGTTCTCAAAGGGGGAAGGTGGTGAGTAACCTAGAAATTTTTGCTTGGGGTATAGATTCTAGAAAGTTCACTCATTGTTTTGCTTACAGTTTTAGGGGCCCACCGATCTTGGTCTATAATAGTTAAGAATCGAGGCTTCAGGGTCCAGGTCAGTTTCCAATGTCTCTGAATTCTCCTGGCCCCAGGGAGGGGGCGGCGGCTTGAGAGGACGAGGGACGGACACCCAGGTGAGTCCCAGGACTTCCCCGCCCTGGCTGGCGCCCAGGCCGCCCCAAATAGGAGCCCCACGTCAGGGTCCCCTCCAGCTCCATCTCGAAACGAAAACACGGCCCAGGCAGCCCCAACCGGCGCCCCTCAGCCCCGAGCCCCCCGCCCGCGCTGCCGCCCCCTCCAGCCCCTCGGAGTCTCACCCGGAGCCCCAGGCCCTCCTCCCAGCCGCAGCCTCTCTCCCCGCCCCGATCGGATCCGAGCCCCCCGCCCCCGCCCCGGGAGCGACGAGGTGCAAACGCGCCCTCCTCCACCCAGCTCCTCCCGCCCCGGGAACGCGGCGGGGTCGGCCTCGCTCGGCTTGGCGTTCCCGCCCCGAGCCCCCGGCGCCGGCCCTGCAGCGGGGAGCCCCGCGCCCGCCTCCACGCGCGCCGCCTCGCAGGTAGGCGAGGACGCGGGGCGAGATCGGGGCGCTGGGGGAGGGGGAGCGGGGGAGGGGAGGGGGAGGGGAGTCCTTTGTCTGCAGCCCGGCAGCCCCGGGCCCAGCCCCCTCCCCTCTCCGCCTTCCGAGGAGGGCGCGGGGACCCGGCGGGAGGGGCTCGGCGGGGCGCGCGGTCCGGACCCGCAGGTGAGGGCGGAGCCAAGCATGGTCGCGGCCCGGGGGCTTCTGCGTCCTCTAGTCCTGCCCGGTGGAGACGGTCGCAGCTTGCGGGCTCCGAGGGCGCCCCCTCCTCGTCGCCTGAGCCCGGGACTCGCGCCCTCGCTCCGCGGCCCCCCGCTCCCCGCCCGTGCCGTGCGCGCCTTCCCGGCTCATTCATTCCACAGACTCCGGGGCGCGGCTCGCCGAGGCAGGCGGAGGCAGGAGGGGACCGGGTCTGGCCAGGCCCGAGACCCCCGCCCGAGGCAGGCCGGGGTGGCAGGGAGGGCTCGCGGGCCCCGAGGCTGCCTGGAGAGGGCGTCCTCGGGGCGCAGACTGGCCCCGACAACTTGGAAGCAAGAAGGGGGCGCTCCTTTCCAGCCGGAGTGGATAAGGGTGTCTCCCTTCTCTGGGGACCTCGGGGCACCCTGTCCGGCCCAGAGAGGGCCATGCCCACCGCCACACAGCGTCCTCCCAGCACATTCCCCACCCAGTCCCTGGGAAGGACTGGGGAGGCCAACTGGTCCGGCTTCCACCCTCCAAACTGGCTGGTCATGTCTCCCGCCATCTCCTCCCCCCATCCTTCCCCGCCCAGGAAGAAGCCGCTCACCTTGGGGTGGAGGAGGGGGGCGTCCTAGAATCCTCCTCCCCTCTCTTCCCTCTACTTGGGCTTCACCTCTGGCCCAGCCCCTCACTGATGATGCCACAGTCTCAGTTTGCCCGTCTGTGAAGTGGGCACAGGGGTGTGCCCCGCATTGGGACTTCGCAGAATGCCCAGCTGCCTCCTACTGACTTGCCCGTCCCCCCAACTCCTCCCTCCCCATTCAGCCCTCCCAGATGGATTCTGGGAGTCCCCTCAATGCCCCCCACTTCCCCTGGCATTAGCCTCCCACTCTCTCTCTGGTCCAGACACCTGGCCCAGCCCCCCAACCTTCCTGCCCCCCCTGGTGCCCCGACAGCCCCTCCCACTCCATCTAACAAGCATTTCTGACCTTGTTCTCCTTTAAAGCTTTTCGAGGGCTCTTCATTGTCCTTGACCTACAAGTAGAAGCCCCATTACACAACTACGCCCACACCTGCGACACCTGGCTGCACCTGGCCCTGTCTCCTCTCCCGTCCATATTCCACGCCCTTCTTGCCTCTGTTTGTGCCGCGCCCTAGGACCTAGGTTCTGTCCTAGCACCTATGTCTTGGCTAACTCCATCTGTGAGACATCACACCTCCTCCTGGAAGCCTCCCCTGATTGTTCACCTGCCCCACCCTGGCCAGGGCTAGATGCGTATTGGGGGTGGTGGTTCCCCTGGCACTGTCTGCTTCCTCTCTGCAGCCTCCAAGGAAGACGTCATGACTCCGGAGGGTCTGTGTTTGGCAAGGAGAGGGCCCGGAGCCCTCACCTTGGCACGGGGCCCCCTGGCTCGGCTCCTGCTGGTCTGGACGGCCCTGTCGTGTGTGGCAGGTGGCCAAGGCCGCTGGGACGGGGCGGCGGAGGCTGCAGGTCCTGGACGTCTGCGGAGGCGGGGCAGCCTGGGCATCTTGCAGGGGTGCGTGGTACCCGAGATGCTTAAAGACCCCTGGGGTGTGGGCTGGGCTGTCCTGGGGCACCCAGCGGGTGTCCAGCCCGACAGGGGCTCACCAGCCACCTGTGCTCTCCCCGAAGGCCGAATGTATGCGGTTCCCGTTTCCACGCCTACTGCTGCCCCGGCTGGAGGACGCTGCCCGGTGGGAGCCAGTGTGTCGTGCGTGAGTGCCCCGGCCTTCTGGAGGTGGGGGGCGCAGGCCGGGGCACTGGGGCAGCTCTCTTACCTGCTGAAAGTTCCCCCTGTTTACAAGGGACTTGGCCAGGGGTCCCTCAGGCTGAACTGACCTCAGGCTCTTGGACCACCCTGCCATGTTCATTTCCTTTGCCCTACAACCTCCCCTGGTCTGTCTGTCTCTTTCTGTCTGTCTCTCTTTCTCTGTCTGTACCCCGCCCACCTCTCTGTCTGTGGCATCTGACTCCACTCTCCAGGAGAGCCCCCCACCCCCCATCCAGGGCCCCTGCACCTCCAGCTTCTGTTCTCCCAGCTCAGCTGTTCTGGCCCAAAGAGCATCTCTGTGTCCTGGTGGTTCCAGCAGAATCCCAGAGGAGGCCGGGCACGGTGGCTCACACCTGTAATCCCAGCACTTTGGGAGGTGGATGCAGGAGGATCGCTTGAGCTCAGGAGTTCGAGACCAGCCTGGGCAACACAGAGAGACCTGGTCTCTACTGAAGTTTTTTTAAAAAATTAGCTAGGTGTGGTGGCACATGCTCCTTGGGAGCATGGTCCCAGCTCCTCGGGAGGCTGAGGTGGGAGGATCGCTTGAGGCCAGGAGTTCAAACCTGCAGATGATCCGGCTACTGCACTCCAGCCCTGGTGACACAGCAAGACCCTGTCTCTAAAAAAAAAAAATGATCATACCACCTGCCCACCCCAGACTGAGAGTTGGGGGGTAGTCCCTGCAAACGGGGGTGGGGCTGCTATGAGCAGAACTGGGGATGTGCACCAAGGTAGCGGTCACCTCCGTGCTCCGGCCGGGCTAGGCACCGGCAGAGCGGGGACGGCACAGGGCTTGGTCCTGGCCTTGACGGCCACCCGCTCTGCCCGTGCAGCCGTCTGTAGGCACTCCTGCGGCCAGGGCTTCTGCTTCCAACCCAACCTGTGCAGCTGTGCGGATGGGACATTGGCCCCCAGCTGCGGGGGGAGCAGAGGTGAGCAGGAAGCAGCCTCTTGGGGGAGGGAAGAGAAGGTCACAGGCATGGGGATGTCACTAGGAGCCGGGGCTGGGCACGCCTAGCCCTGACGCCTTCTCCGGGGCGCTGCGGGCCGTCTCCACCTTACTGCGCGTCCGCACTCCCCGTCCTCAGGGCCAGGGTGCAGCGTGAGCTGCATGAACGGTGGCAGCTGCCGGGGGGCGTCCTGTCTGTGTCAGAGGGGCTACACGGGCACCGTGTGTGGGCAGCGTGAGTACCCCCGGAGGGCACCCCCTTATGCATGTTGGGCCTGGGGTCCCAGAAGGTCAGTCTCTGCAGCCACCTGCCAACTGCGCACGGGTCCCTCTTCCCGGATCGGAGATTGGAGGGGACACGCTCACTGTCGCCATCTCATCGCTCAGGCTGGGCCAGATCGTGGGGACCTGGGTGAAGACAGGCTTGCTCAGGACCCTCGCTCACTCTGTGGCTGGGGGCCCTCTGGGCCACCCTCCCCTCTCCCTCCACAGCTGTCTGTGACCACGGCTGTCACAACGGGGGCCGCTGCATTGGGCCCAACCGCTGCGCCTGTGTGTATGGCTTCATGGGGCCCCAGTGCGAGAAAGGTACCAAGTGGGTGGGGGGGGACAGGAGACTGGTGGGGGGGAGGGGAGGACATGGCCGGGCCCTGGGAGGGTCCGACTGGCCTCCTTCCTGCTGCCGGGGCGCTCTGAGGACATTTCCTTCATTTGCTCAGCCGTCCTCCGAAACATCTGCCCCTCCCTGGCTCTGGGCGGTTCTGGGAGGAAAGAGAGAGGGCGCTGCAGTCTGAGAGGCCAGGGGAAGAAACCCAGAAACATAAAATTCTAACCCCGGGGGATTCAAGGCTCTGACAAGGGGTAGGGGTGCCCAGCCTCGGAGGACGTGGAGGGCAGAGAACCCGTCTCCTCCAGGGAAGAGAGGGCAGGGAGGGCTTCCTGGAGGAAGGGACCCCTCCTCTGGATCTCGTAGGATAAGAAGGAGTGAACCCCAGGTCTGGTCTGAAAACGAGGTGGGAGGACGGTGGTCCCCCTGGGCAAGGAGGTGGGAGACCCCAAGCTCGGTGTTGGCCGAGGGACCTGCAGGCCTGGGGCTGAGGAGAGAGGGCGCCTCAGTATTAATGGACAGACAGAAAACATGGAGCCCCCGGGGGGTTGAGAACGAGAAAGGGGACAGGAGCGGGTGGTCTTGGGGGTGAGATTTTCAGATGCAGGAGGCGTCGCTGTGCCCGGCAGGGCTGAGGAGCAAAGATGGGCAGAGCCCCGGGACGATGGCAGTGGCGGGAGGTGGTGGCGAGGGACGGGTGCACTGTGACCCAAGCCTGCGTGGAGAGAGGATGGCAATGAGTTGGACGCTGGGGGTGGGGGAGGGGGCCTGGGCTCAAGGGTGGGCTTTTGGAGCTTGACTTTGACAAGAAGGCAGAACTGGAATGTGGGCTGTCGGAGGCGGGGCAAGCTGGGGGTGGCCGAGGGGGAGGGAGGGTCAGTGGGGAGGGGCGAGAGAGGAGAGTCCTAGGGTGGACCGTGAGGGCCCCAGAGAGGGGCAGGGCTCGGTGCCAAGGTTCCCGGAACTGGGTTTTGGCTTGGGGGATCAGGACAGCCGGGGGGTCTCTGTGAAGCCCCGCCTCCGTACGAGGCCTGGAGGGGGGTGGCTCTGGCTTCTTCTTCTGGGAGGGGCTGCCTTTGGTTGCGTGCCAGCCCCTTGATTGGAAACATCTGGAGGATGGAGCCAGGAAGTCACTTCTGGGCCCCTGTACAGCAGGGGTTAGGAGACCCGATGCGGCCACCTTTGGGCCAGGCCCTGGGGATCGGGGATGTGACGTTGTGGGTCCAGAGCATTTCGGCAGATGTCGGATCCCTCCCAACATTTGGGAGATCTGGCAGGGCCAGAGTGTGCTCAAGGACTAGAAGGGCTCTCAGCCGGGCATACATGGGTCCTTGTCCCGGCCTAAAGGGACGGTGGGCCTGGTTGGGGGGAGGTTAGGAGGGTCTTGTTCAGACAGACCCTGAGCTTTCTGAGCTTGAAGGTCCTGGCCTCCCTCTTGTAGATTGGTCAGGGAATGCTTTGAAGAAAAAGGGTTTTGACGGGTACATAGGAGTTCGTTAGGTAAGGAAGGGGAAGAAAGGCATTCTATCCAAGAAGGGGAACAGCATGAGTAAAGGCTTGTGGTCAGGGCAAAGCCTGGCATGCGGGTGCAGGGAAGCTGAGAAGGTGGTGGAGTTGCAGAGAGAGTTCTGGGGCAGGGACAGCCCATGGCCAGCTGTCACATCTCTCTGCCCTGCAGACTACCGGACGGGGCCCTGCTTTGGCCAAGTGGGCCCCGAGGGGTGCCAGCACCAGCTGACGGGCCTTGTGTGCACGAAGGCACTTTGCTGTGCCACCGTGGGCCGAGCCTGGGGCCTTCCATGTGAACTCTGCCCTGCACAGCCACACCCCTGCCGCCGGGGCTTCATCCCCAATATCCACACAGGCGCCTGCCAAGGTGAGCAGTGGAGTCAGGGATGGAGGTCCTGGGGAGCCTTGGGCTGTGTTGGTTCTTCCCTCTGATGGGCCTCTCACTCCCTTAACCGCACACCATCCTTGCAGATGTGGATGAGTGCCAGGCCGTCCCAGGCCTGTGCCAAGGGGGCAGCTGCGTCAACACGGTGGGCTCCTTCCTGTGCCGCTGCCCGGCTGGACACCGGCTCAGCGACAGCGGCACTACGTGTGAAGGTAGGTGACCAGAAGGGACATGACCTGGGACCTCCTCTGTGTTCCGGGCGGCCCAGGCTCCCCTGCAAGCAGCAGGGAGGCAGAGGGGTCGGTCTGGCGAGGGTCCCACCTCCGACCCTGACTCCGTCGATGCAGATGTGGACGAGTGTCTCAGCGTGCCGGGCCTTTGCTCCGGGGGAGACTGCACCAATACACTCGGGAGCTACGCGTGCACCTGTCCCCATGGCTTCGCCAGCAGCCTGGATGGCACCCGCTGCCTGGGTGATCTGGGGCCCCAGGGGGCTGGAGGAGGTGAGGGTGGGTCCCGCCTGGCATCCAGGCTCTCTGTCCCGCAGCGTCAGTGCTTTCCTAGACCCCAGTCTGGGAGCCCCTCCAACCCTCCATCTCACGCCTTTTAGCTGTTTGGTCTCCCATCTCCGGTCTCTGCGCTGTGCCTCCCCCTGGAAGCCCACTGGCTTGCAACCCCCCACACTCTGCCTGGCCGAGGGGGAACCCACCCTCTGGGCTCATGCCTTGTTTTGCTATCTTGATGGACGGGTGGTCAGGCCTTAGAGGACAGGGCTGCCCAGGAATTGGATGCTGGCGGTGGGGGCTGGGCAGAGTCCTGGTGTGAGGAGAGGGAGGGCGGTTCCCTAGCGTCACCTCTGGGCCCCTCAGGCTGGGTGTGTAGCAGGCAAGGCTGAGAATGTGTTTGGAGATCGGCCAGTGTGCCAGTGGCCAACTCCGAACTGTCTAGGTCTCCACCTCTGGGGGGCTGTCATGGCCAGCGTGGGGGAGAGGGTACCTTTGGGCGCATCCCTCAGACTCTGGGGGCCTTTCTCAGCCACCAAACAGCAGGGGCTGGACTTGAACCAAGTCAAGTTGCCTCCCAATGTAGGCTTTGGAATCAGTGCTGGGTTCCAACTGCCGGCCGAGCTGCTTGCAGACTCTGTGGCCTTGGGCAAGTGACTTAACCTCTCGGTGCCTCAGTTTCCTCATCTGTAAAATGGGAGAT